AGTCATTTCTGGTTGAAATGGAGATCCCTTCCCTTTATAACTCACTTATCCTCCGCCATTCCCAAGTCAAGGGTCGTATATACTGACCCAATAGCATATCTTGAAAACTAGAGCCAATCAACAATTTTAAGCATCATTTTCGTTCTCAGTGACCCAGAATTAGTAAAGTTTGACTACATTTATTTCAGAAGCATTTTGGCTGTAGAGCAGTGTTACAGGTAAACAGTTTCCCTACATCTATATGTATGTGCACATACATGTATATTATAACAGTCCTAGGGAGATTTTGCACTCCTCATATTGGGTCAAGAAGATTCTACCACTCTGCTCTGCTAGCTCACATAAAAAACAGCAAGGCTCTTAAAGAGGAAGAGCTCTTATTTAAACTGAAATGGTCCAAAGGGAAAGTTGCTGCCTGCAACAGCACATTGATAAAGTGATTACAGAAATCTGACCACAGCTGAACGAATGTTATTAAAACCATTACCTGCTGGAACTGATTAGTGTACGGGCGAGGTGCTAGAAATAAAACACAAGAGCATTATTATCCAAAAATGTGCATGCTGTTCCTTAACAGCTCTTAAGTCTGTAGAGTACCTCCCATGTTTAAAAGTCTTGAGCCTGAGATCACACAGGAGCGCTCTGCACCAACATGTATCTGGTCACACGCATCTAGAACCATCTGCAGAACCACCACTCTCATTAGGGTGACAACTTGTGCTACTGACAGGCTGAATTCCTAGATGTCAGCCCTCACTGAAGCCCACACAAGATTTTGACCAGTAGCTATTAAAAATACTGAAGGAAAACACTGACATCCTCAATGAAAGAATGGGCTGATCTTTATTAAGAATTAATATACACAGTCTGTGGGCTTCCATGCAAATGGATGCAATTGAACAAAGATCTTTAGTTAACATTTCATCTCAGATTGATCTCAAGTAAGCCACCTGTCAACTTGTTTTTTCCCCACCCATGTCTCTCCCTGGACACAGGATTAGAAAGCAAGAAAGCCCAGTCACTGGCATAGCAGTGATTCTATAAAGATACTGGAGTGAGAGCACACAGTCAAGATGGCTTGGAATGAAGAACTTGCTGCTGCTGCTCTTGAAGAGACTTGGAATCCTCCCATGGACGGGGCCCTCTGACGTTCTTCCAGTCATCAAAGTCAGAGCTTTTCAGTTTCTATAAACAGTAACAAACATAAAGCTATGTTAGGGCATGAGTGCAGTGCTTTAAATAGAGTTCTTCCAAATGTGCTTGTTTCCTATATCACAACTGTAACATCATCCACTGGCTGATTAACTTTCACCCAGGACCAAATGATATTCTATAGGAGAAAAAAAAAAATCGACAGACAGGAGAAAGAACAGAGAAATATATTAATTGCAATGACTGTAGCTGTAACTGCTCCTCAATATCTAGGGAAGAGCGAGCCATCGGACAAGGCAGAAAAGGTTCTCTTCTTTACTTTTCTTTTTTTTTTTTTAAACTATCCTATTTTTCAGGTCAGCCCTTTGACTGCAGGAATTTCTAGTGTCGAGGTATAGAAAGATGCCAAAGAACAACCAAAACCTGGCTTTTGCAGAAGGAACTACTCTTGTGAGAGGTACGGGAGGGAAGACAATGTCTGATCATTGGTGCCCAGAGGTATTCTGCCTGTGCAGGGCAGATGGCCTCAAGGGAGTTTGAATCAGCATGATCCCCTTCACTCCATACTACTTTGATATAAAAGAGAGGAATGCACGGCCTTCCAGAATGTGCTTCCTAATTCCAGAAGCCACAAATGGGAGATGGGGCTATAGCCATGTTCCCAACCCGCTTACCCATGTCCCCCTTTGGGGTGAGGAATACACTGCAGGGCTTGTCTATATGGTGTGTTAGTCCACACTGAGGGGTGTCCATTAGCGTGTTACACACTAATTGGCCCATGTAGACCCTGTTGGCATGCACTAAAAGCTTCTTAGTGCGCGTTAATCTGTTTGAAATGGGACGATATGAGCCGTGGTCAGATTTCTGTAATCACTTTTAGTGCATGCTAGCAGAGTCCACGGGGGCCAGTTAGTGCGCAACACACTGTCATAGAAATTCCTGTCCATTCCAGCTGAGGAATAAGGAGAGACGGGCACAGCTAATCAAGCAAGGAGCCCCAGGAGGGGCGATCCATTTATTTCAATTGCAATTGGGTTCGAGCTCATAAGTCAGCAAGAACAAAGAAAACACTTACACCGAAGCATTATATGCAGTTGCTTATGATAATCTATCGCTCTATGATTGGCCAAAATATGCTATCATTACCATACATAATTAGCAAGCTACATGTATCTGCCCCTCTTATGACCCCTTATTGTTCATCTACTTGCTCCCTCCTTGCGTTATTTTGCAAACCAAGCACTTAGTTATCTACAGGACGCAGGCACAGAAAGTTCCATTGTCTCCAGGTTTGGAGTTTGGCTACATTTCCTCTTGAAGGAACTTCCTGAGTTAAGACAACCTATAGCTGATATTTTCCCTTCTTCTTTCTCCCATGTGTACGTGATTTTTTGCCCCTTGGCAGTTAAGTAGAATAATTTTATATCAACACTAGTGCACACTAGAATTTACACCCCTCTAATGCAGACTAATACATTGTGGAGACAGGCCCGGGGTGTGTTAAGTGGCCAAACAGCCTAGCATTAAACAATGTCTAGATTTCCCACATAGGTGCTCTGGGGAGTAGACAGGATCTTTCCCCACCCCCCCTCTAGCACCCCTGTTCAAGGGCATCCACAACTGGATTCTTCATGCATTTCTGTGACTGGGTAAAAAGAAGAAATACCCTCCTGCCCTCCCCTGCAATGTACTGCTGTTGCAGAAGGCAAAGGGATGCTGAGATTCCCCCAGGAGTATGGCTGTAGCAACACACAAGACAGCATTTTGGCACAGGACGTTGCAGTTCTTGCTATAGAGAAGCTAGAGAACCTTTGCAGACTATTTTTTAAAGCCTCTCCAGTTCCCATGTCAAAGAACTACAATAGTAAAAGACAAAAGCTAAGAGAGTTTCTGTATCCAATGCATTTTAGTGCAAAGTTTAATTTCAATGCAGTTACTGAAAACAAGCTGGAAGCAAACTCTGCTGACTCTTCCTTTAGTTTAATGCACTCAGATAGTGGAGAAGTAGCTGCTTATCGCAAGTTTTCTCCTTGACCATCTACTTTAGTTTGTTACTTCCCCTGCTCTCCACCTCCCATTCTCCACACTTTATTCTTGAGATAGCACATTCTGAACCAAGTCCCACAGTGGTATAAGCAGGCACCTCTCCCACTGACGACAATGTGAGTTCTGCTTGTTTACACCAGGCCAAAATTTGACCCACCTCTTCACAGTGCAGCTAGTTGAGAAATGGAAGTCCCATTTCCCACTAGGCACAGACTCTCTCTAGTCAGTAAGTTCCTAAATTTGGAGCTTCACATCTGCTAACCAGCAGACCTGTGAGGGAGTTTGCACCATCATCCCAAAGGTTCACACTGATGGGACAAGGGGGCATTCCCAGTGTTACCGAAGTGGAGAAGATTGTATATTATTAATAATTAAGGCTAAGATTTTGTCATGGTTATTTTTAGTAAAATTTATGAACTGGTCACGGGCAATAAACAAAAATTCATGGAAACCATGTCCTGTCTGTGACTTTTGCTGCTGCAGCTCCATGGTTTCCCCCACCATTGTGGTGGCTGGGAGCTGTGGGGTTCCCCCTCCACCCACAGCGGCTGGGAGCTGCAGGGTGACCATATTTCCCAAAGCGAAAAAGGAACACCCCAGCTGCTTGCCCGAGGTGTCCCCCTCCTGCCGCACAAGGCTGTTGCCTGTTGCTGGAACCCTGAGGCGGGCCCCCTCAGGAGTCTGTCACCTCTCACTGGAACTTTGCAGGGGGCCTCCTATGGCTTGTCACCAGAACCCTGCCCAGGGCCCCACTGGCTGTCAGCTCCGGAGTCCTGCAGCCCTGAGGCTGAAGCAGAGAATGTCACAGAGGTCTCTGGGAGTCACGGATTCTGTGATTTCCATGACCTCCGTGACATAAACATAGCCTTATTAATGATACATATTGTAGTGGGACCCAACCCCCGCCTCAGGATCCAGGCCTCACTGCAATAGGCACTTTACAAATACACCAGAAGACACTACCCTTACCCTACAGCGCTTGCATTCTAATTTGCCTACTGTCAATAGGGATGACAAACAATGAGGGACTTGAAAAAGGGTCAAGGAAAATTTGGCAGCTGTAACAGGACAGGTCTGCTGTTGTTAGTTCATGTTATGCAAAACCTTCATGACACTTCTACAACTTGAAGAAATCTCAATGAGATTAGGCAGATTTCAAAATAAATTAAGCAAGATCCCACAGAAAACACTTGTGCACGCATATACATTCACCAGACTTTTGATATGAGGTAGCAGCAGCTGAATTTTTCATACAGTGGAGTGAGTTAGCATAAGCACTTCCTGAAAACTGTCCTTGCTACTTTATTCAAATTGTGATTAACCAGCCTTTCATTTCCACTGGAAGAAATCAGAACTGACTAGGGAGGAGGAGGAGGAGAGGGAGTTTAGGGAAGGTGCCCCATCATCCCATGCGTCAGCAGCCATCACTTGGATTACAAGAGACCGAATTTAACACCTGACTCAAACGGAAGATTCAAAGAAAATAGACTGCAAAGAACCTTGTGCTTTACAAAGGGAAAGCATTCTGACTTTATAAAACACATATACAATGCAGCTGTAAGTTTAGATTCTCTACCCACAATGCCTGCTCTAGAAATGTTCAGAGATATTTTCAATAAGCAGTTACTGAAAGTGAAATATATTCAGTGAAACTTACAGTATCTGAAGAGACTAGCTAAGGGACCAACACAAGCAGAATACCTAATAGAGGATAGTCTTTAACTAAAGGTCATACTCAATTGTATTGGAAACCTTAGGAAGGCTTTGAAGGGGTCACTCTCAAGACAAAGTGTTACTTACAGCACAGGGTGTTTCAAATATGTACAGTATCTAAGGAAATGAAAACAAGAAAATATTTCAGTAGTCTTTGTTCCAAATTTAGTGGTATCAGGGTTCCTGAAAAAGACATTATGAATTACATAATGAATGACTTAACATACAAGGAATGAGTATAGTCAGAGTAAATAAGTAGATTAAACTATACAATTGATGAGGTCTACTAACTGAGTTTATCCTTGTCAGTTAAAATTAAGGAGTTATAAATCTAATCAATGCACAGAGAAACCATACATTTGTTTGTTCAGGTGTTACATTCATGAACATCATTAATAGCTTGTGACATTCACAATAAAGAGTTTATTTGATGCCTCACTGCAAGTCTAGGGAGAGTAGCTTCCTAAGGACACATGGCAGAATCTGCAACTATTATTAAGGCTGCGATTTAGTCACGGAGGTCAAGGAATCCAGGACTTCCAAAGACATGCGGCAGGGCGGATCCACCACTTCTGGCCACCGTGGGCAGCAAGAGGGACCCCCGCTGCTCCCAGCTCCCGTGGGCAGCAGGGGGGACCTGGTGGCAGGGGGAATCCCCACTGTTCCCATGGACTGCGGGAGGCAGAGGGGATCCACGGAGCTCCCGGCCACCAGGGGTAGCAAGAGGGACCCCCGCCGCTCCCAGCAGCAGGCAGGATTTCCGCTGCCATGGGCAGCAAAAGGGACCCAGGCAGCTCACAGCTGCAGTGGGAGGGGACCCTGGAGCTCCCAGCCCCTCCCCTCCCAGCTGCCCAGGCTACCCATTTTCTCATGGGTATTTTTAGTAAAAGTCAGAGACAGGTCACGGGCTTCCGTGAATTTTTCATTATTGCCCCGACCTGTCCGGGACTTTTACTAAAAAAAATATCCGTGACAATAACGTAGCCTTAACTATTATCAGTCTAGAAGGGACATGTATCCAATCAGTTATACTTTCAGAACAGCCAAGTTATACAATTTCCCAAATCTGATTATGTCATAAAAGTTTTAAAAAGAAAAGGGGTCCTTTTTTATTCAGGTAAAGGTAAGAAGGAACATCAGCTATGAAAATGGACCTGAAAAAAGTCCTGATTCTCTACGGCTTAGCACCTGTAGTTATTTACCTCTGTGCAAAGTGTGGGTACAACTCTACTAAACCAGAACTCTCCACTCACTCACTCCCACTGGTGAGAGCCTTTCAGACCCACTTTGTACAGAGGTAAATGACTGCGCCAGTGCTGGGCAATTTGGCCTTCAACTGTTACTGTGCTATTTTTATTTTTCTTAAATAAGCCTGACAACCCTGAAGAGTTAAGTCCTCTTTCTGTCCACTGAATAGGAACAGCACAGGCAGCGGCATTACAAGCTTCCCTCAGACTGGCACACAACCATGTAGCAGGACCACATCTTTGGGTGAGAGGGTAGCTCAACCCCCAAGTTCACTCAGTCTTTGGCTTTTCTGCTGAGTATGCCAATTAGTGCTAGCTGTGATGTGGACACCTGTCCATTAGGACCAGGACTGAGACCCCCTAATTTCACAGAAGTACCACATACAAATGGCAAACTACTTTCAGCCACTCCCAACTTGAGATCTATACAAACTGGCTGTCTAGAGGTGAAAGGCTTTCTACTCTGCTACCAATCTCCTGCACTATTCAATCCACTAAACAGTCAATCACTGAAGGAGATTTAACCAGATCAGATTGACATCCCTTTTGCTACTTGTCTCAAATAGCCCAAAGGATACTGAAAATTAATTGTTTAAAGTTAGAGCAATGTAGTACATCAAACCTACTGATTCTCTTTCTAAATCAGCTAAAAGAACAGGAGTACTTGTGGCACCTTAGAGACTAACAAATTTATTAGAGCATAAGCTTTCGATGCATCC